GAAATTATTTTTTGTTACAGTGCTCCATTATAAACCAACATTAAGACAAGACAGACAATACACTAACTAAGAATAGTACAATATATACATATATACACATACATACATAAGTCACTCATAAATAAATAGCTGGAAAAGAAACATGTGTAGCTGTAGCAGCAAACAGTGTGTTAGGTGGATGCGTTGTACAGGGAGATGGCCACAGGCAGGAAAGATTTCCTGTGTCGTTCAGTGGTGCATCATGGGTAATCTCAGTCTCTCACTGAACGTGCTCCTGTGACTGACCAGCATGTCATGGAGTGGGTGGGAGGTGTTATCCAACATAGTCTTTATCTTGGACAGCATCCGCCTCTCCGACACCACCTTGAGGGAGTCCAGCTCCATCCCCACAACATTGCTGGCCTTACGGATTAGTTTATTAAGTCTGTTGGCATCTGCGACCCTCAGCCTGCTCCCCCAGCATGCAACAGCATAGAGGATCGCACTGGCCACAACAGACTCATAGAAAATCCTGCAGCATTTTCTGGCAGATGTTGAAGGACCTCAGTCGCCTCAAAAAATAGAGACGACTCTGGCCCTTCCTGTAAAGTGCTGTGGTGTTTTTAGCCCAGTCCAGTTTATTGTCAAAAAACTCATTTACTAAGCAGAACTCATGGCAGAACTCATGGCCAAACAGCTATGCCTCTCACTAATTACACCCAAATTTCTTGGAAACCTTCGGACAGCATACAATCCTTTCCTACAATAGAATAGGTACAGCCCACCAGCCTCACCTAATGGCAAGATCCAGGTTGAAACCCCAGATGGAGCCTTTCTGTGTGGCTAATAATCAAGTTGGATGAAAGTATTTATCTCTTTCTTAGGTTTAACGTCCTGCATATGAATCAAAAGTAATAGCCTATTAACTATAGCTATTCTGATTATGTACAAAATGTTAAAAGAAGCAACTAAACAGTACTGAAGTGGAGATGAAACACTACATTAATAAAGGCATCGATTTAACATTATATGTCAAGTTGGCTTTAAGAAATAAGTGTCTAAAGTTACATGTTTAGTACAGAGTATGATGTCATTGGGTTGTTTGGTTGCTGCCAATAGACTTTGATTAGTTTATGTTGGAGCAACAAGCTGTAGTTACTGACACTGTTTGATTGTTTCTTGTTTAGTTAGGTTTATCAAGTGGTGCAATCAACTGACAGAGCAGATGTCTGCAAGATGCGATCAGCATGGTTTTATTCAATAAAGCTGTCCCTCTTCCAAACAGTTTACAACATAACAAGTTAGTACATGTGCATCACAAGTCTTTTACCCAAGCACGATCATGTCAGAGGGGGACCTGACTGATGTGTGGAATGGACAATGTAACAAACACACAAACAAAAATGGAGCCTCAAAGGACGGGATGCTACAGAAACCTATTTCCTTGTTTTAGTTTAGAAATCCTTATCTCACATGATCTCACCGAGTGGATTATTTCATAGTGAAAGTGAAGAGAAGTGAAGCCCAAATGTAAGTAAACGAGAATGAAGGACTTTTTTCTCCCTGGGGACATGGTCGCAGATGTTTGGATTCCCGACAGGCATGAATTGTTAATACAGATTGCATCGTGTGTGTTTGTATGTTTATACCGCCACTGCGTGTTCTCAGCAGATGATAGATGTCAGGCCGATAGCAGTGCTGTGGAGCTCTTTTCTGGGAGCCTGCATCTCTCCCTGGGTAAAGAAGAAAATGTTTTTCTATTCAGTCGCAGACATTGAAATTCACCTCGAGGAGAAAAATGAATCATTTTCTGACTCTAAGCTTCACCACTGGTTAATTTTTTTCAGTGGATTTGGTAGAAACTGCCAAAAGTTAAAAATAAACCTAAAGAGGAGAGGATAAATCCAGTTAGCTGTCAGTTCAAATGACAGCATGTGTAATTATTGTACATGGCATAAGAAACTCATTAATGCTTAATAATATATACAGATTTAGGAATAAATAAATATATGCTGAATATATGCTGAATTTAGGGCTGCCCAGCGGTGTGGTGGTTAGCACCATCACTTCACAGGAAGAAAGTCGTTGGTTTGAATCCAGGAGCCCTTTCTGTGTGGAGTCTCTCCCCTCTCTGGCCACACTCGAAAGACGTGTAATTAGTGAATTTAAATCGGCCATGAGTGTGACAGGTTATCTGTCTGTGTTAGCCTTGACAGATCAGTGACATGTGCAGGGTGTGCCCCTGCTCTTCCCCTGTTACAGCTGTGACAGCCTCCCCACCCCATGACCCTGGACTGAGCGGAAGAAAATGTATATTTTTGATTCATTATCTTCACATATAAAACTATTACAAATAAGAGATAGTAATTTAAATTATATTATTCAGAGAACTTGGCTACATCTATAAATGACGCCGCACCCTGGATTGCAGTCTAACACCGGGAATATTTATATAAATTACACCAGAACGTTTCAGTTTCAAACTTTCAGTGAAATATAGAATTTCCATCATTTCCGAGTCAATTCTGTTTCCTGCTCTGAAGCAGAGTACCTTGCTCCTGTCGTCCCCCTCCTCTCTCAGCCAGTCGATCAGCGAGCTCTTCCTGAAGCTGCTGCTGTTGTCTGGGAGGCAGCCTCCACAGTGCCTGACCCATCTGTAACAGGAGGGAGACACTTAGATGATATAAAGGAATATGCTACATATGCTCCACTTACCTGTGTGAAAAATAAAGTAGTAGACTACATCTTTTTTGTACAGGCATGTTTCTTCTTTGCATACTTTGACATGACATTAAATACATGATCAATGGATGTATACAGTGAGCACTGTTCGAGGCAACACTTGACCATTTACTTTATGAACAGGGGTCATACTTTTTAGATCAAACCTGGTTATTAAAAAAAGCGAGATTATAAGGGTTAAGACTGAAGCAAAGTAATGAGCCGCTGTGTCCCGTTTCATGTATGAAAAAGCCTACGCAGCCACCAGAATCTGACAGCACTCTAACTGCTTCAGAATAAATAACGATCACCGACACAGGCCTACATTTAGCAGACACTGTCAGATCCACAGAGCACACTTGCTGCTAACTAGCTTCAAATTTGGCTTGTTCGGTACCTGCGTGCCAACAGCAAGGAGACAGCGGCTAGTCTGAAGGCCGGTCAAACGTCAGCTGTTTTACATAAACAACTTCCATTACACTGTTGTAAACATCAACGCTGGAAGTTCCAGCCAGCACGGTAGTTTGACTTGCAGACCCGCCCTCCCTTCAATACCACTGGCCACAAAATCACAGTAGCATTGAACCTCTTAACCCATTGGTTGAACTGTCTTTCACTCTTGTGCTAGTCTTTCAATTCATCAAGTTAGCCTACCAAGATCGTTTAAGTGCACCGAGGACACAAATGCGTTCTCTTTCTTTACATATTAAACAACATATTAAAGAACATATGAGTTCGTCACAGAAACGTAAGTGGCGCTACCAACCTGACTTCAATGATTCCTCTGACAACCTGACCTGCGCACAATGACAGCTGGAAGCGCGAGTTCCTTATTATCAAACGTATGCTGTAGTAATTTCATTAAGCCGAGTACAGAGAACAACAGGTCCTCCGGTTCAGCAGAGCCCTTCAATACAGGCGTCTACCAACTGAATTATGTTTCCACTCTCTTCTTCCTGTCGGCCCTCCCACCTTTTCTATCGCGTCATAACTATAGACAAAAAAGGTTGAATCGAAAGAAAATGTGTCTTCCCCCGGTTTGTCTTTATCAGTGGATTAAAGTTTACGTATTTAACATGAATGTGATAAATAAGCTTTAAAAACAAACAAAAAAACAAAAGCAGAACCAGCGTCTGCGTCACTGACGTAGACAAGGCGCACAGACCCAAGAGCCAATCAGCCTGCTTTACAAGTCGGATCAGGGGACAGTGGTTAATGGTTAATTATTGGATACACCTGAAAGCTCATAATAAACGTCATCCTGTTAAGAAAGTGCTTTGGAAAAATGAAAGGATTAAAAAATAGTTTTGGGTGGGTTGGTAGAGTATTTCAAGTATATAGCAAAGAATTAGGACCCATGGAAATACACAACTGTAGACATCAGATATTAAAAAGAGAAGAAATATAACAGATATTTGTTAAGAATTTTATAACAGAGTAGAGATGAAGTAGAGTGATTACTTGCAGATTTATACAGATGGATCGAAAGAGCCAAAAACTGAAACAACTGGTGTAGCAGTAGTGGCTCCTGAATTATAAAATAAAATATCAAGATTTCAAAAAAGAACATCAATTTCGTTTTTAGTATATGTGGTGTAGAATTATGTGCCATATTATTGAGTGCGTGGAAGATAGTAGAATTACGAAATTAATATTATGTAGTGATTCATTGTCAGCATTGTTGAGCATTGAAATATGAAGTACAACTAATCGCCAGAACATTGTGTGAAAAAAACAAAAATATAGCAATAATGTGGACTCATGGATGTATGTATTTAGCGTAACAAAAGAGCAGATAAGCTGGCTAAGGAAGCTATTACAAGAGTAGATATTTTAGTAGATATATTAGTTTGAAAAATAGTACATTATGAAAAATGGTGTGGAGTAATGAGGTAAAAGGTAACTGTATAAAATACAGTTGGAGTTACAAGACAGAGGGATAAGTAGGCGGGAGGGGATAATAATAAATAGAATAAGAACAGGTCATTGCTCTTTGAATGGCACTCCTTTCAACATGGGGAAACATCTAGCTGGTTTATGTAATCAGTGTAATGCTATAGAAACAATATTAGCTGCCGGAAATAAGAATCAAATCAAAGAAGAATATCGAGTGTAGAGATGGATACTAACAGGGAATTCAAGTTTGAGAATGTGGTTGCTCAGTTAAATCATGATGAAGGGAAAGGAATGTCGTTTCTGAGAAGTACCGAAGTCATCAGGAGCATATAAGGAAATGATGTAGCAGTATAGCCCAAGAGATGGCAGTAGTGCAACATTGTTGGATGCAAGCTGCCGTTAAAAACTAAGGAAGAAGAAGAAGAAGAGCCAATCGAGCGTCGCGTTGTTGACGACCCGGGAGAAACAAAACTAGCTAAAGGAAAAGGAAAAGCGGCAGAAGAATGATTCATACGAGTTATGTCTCTTTGTGGAAAAGAGGATAAAGGAGTGTTAATAGAGCTTCGACTTTTTAAACAATCAATTCGGCTTCTTTAAATTTGGCGTTGTCACAACAGAGAAACTCCTTCGTACCTTTTTGGGAATAAAGCGGGGATTGGTATCAACGGGCTCTTCTTTCTTTTACATCTATTTAAAATGTTGTCTACTGGAGATGTTCAAGGTTATCTCCGTAAACTGGAAGCTCTCCTGCGAGTGATCAAGTACCCGGGATACGTCGACTACAATGGGTAAGCGTCACCACCGCCAGTCCCTTGTTACTAAAGAGATCCAAACTAACAGTATTCGCGTTACATTGTTTTATTAGTAATTTGTGTAAGAAAAACACTTTGATTAAAAACCACGGCTCTTCAGTTGTAGCGTTTTTACTGCTAAAGGGTACAAAGCTCGTTCCCGAGAGTGCCTATTCGGCTCGACGCCATCGTTTTCCATTCCTATCTTCTTTGTTTGTTTGTTTGTTTTTAAATAAGATCCTTATTTAAAAATTGGTACAATACAAAGTAAAATGAAACAGTATTGCATTAAAGGTTTTGTACTTACAGAAACTGTACCAGAAACAAACAAACAAACAAACAAACAAACATTAGCCAGAACATACAGTACACATACGCTAGGGGGAGAAGTTTATCTAATTAAACCAAAGAGCGGTGATTGAAGGATCTTCATTTTTCCACATACAACCATAGTTTTTACAGCTCTGGGGTTAGCGGATTTCTTAATTGAATTAAGATATTGCAAAAACTCATAGAAAAGGAGGGATGTCTTCCTAAACATTTGGATTTGTGAATATGAAATTTAGCCTTTAAGATTAACAAGTTAATCATATCTATGTTGAATTGTCTTTGGTTTTTGTGGGGACCAAATAATACATGTTTCCAAAATAGTGCAAAATCTTTAAATCCATCTTCTGAGATGAAGACGCGTAGTCTCTGCCAGAAGTTTTGTACAAGGAGACAAAACCAAAAAAGATGCATAGCAGATTCCTTACAAGTCTTACAAAAGCTACAGTTTGCATCAATGTCTAACTTGAATTTGCTTTGAAGATAATCTTTAGATGGGTAAATTCTGTGTATTACCTTATAAGAAATGTCTTTAACTTTGTTGGTAATTAAAAACTGATTAGGTAGTTTCCAAACTTAGAATATATATGTATATTCTGCAGCACATCTCTGTGAGTTCATCATTTGTTTGAAGCCAGCTCACCTCCTGCAACCACTTTTCCGAGAATACGCGCTTCTTTTGTGGTTCGGACTCCTTCTGACATTTCTTTGGAGGTGGAGGAACATCACAGTAATTGCTTAAAGGAGCTTCTTGACATCTTTAAGAGTTCTAAACAAATGTCTGTCCTCCTCCAGAAAATCTTATGTACGCAAACACGCGTTGCAACTTCTTATCTTGTGCGCATTTTTTATTTTGACAGCGAATGCTCACCTGCGGACCACTTATGTGCAGCCCTGGTTATGCTATTCTGAAATAAAGGTCTAATAGATTTATTGTTGTTTTCAGAATACTTAGATAAGCATATCTTACCAATGACAGTTTGTATTGGAGATACCAACGGCATATGGTATGAAGGGATATTAGGTTTATTCTTAAAAAGCATACAAACCCCTGATGGTATTGAGCCAAATACTTTAGCATAATCGTCATGATTTATAGCTAAATTGAGATGTAGACAAAATTCTTCATAGGAGAGAAGCATACCATTTGATGTTTCCATTACATGTTCTATCGAGTACAGCCTAATGTGCCTGAGGTCGTTATAGCAATGCAGTCGACCATCCCGTGACATCATTTGTATGTGACACGAACGCTAGAACAAAGGTGGATGTAATCAATATTGATATGAAGTACAATTAAGTATCCATCCATCCTCTTCAGCTAATCCTTTTCAGGGTCGCGGGGCGGCTGGAGCATATCCCAGCTTCCATAGGGTGAGAGGCAGGCTACACCCTGGACAGATTGCCAGTCTGTCTCAGGGCCAACACATAGAAACATACAACTATTTGCAATTACATTCACACCTATGTGCAATATAGAATTACCAATGAACCTAACCCCGCTAACTCCCAGAATACCATGCAAACGCAGGGAGAGCATGCAAACTTCACACAGGAAGGGCCCGGCGAGGTGATGGACTTGAACTCAGGACCTTCTTGCTGTGAGGTATGCCACCGGGCTGCCCTAATGAAGTCTATGATATAAAATATTTTTTTGTATTTAATACATTTGTTATTCCAAATCAGAGATTTATGTCGGGAAAAATTATGTTTGTAAAGATGAAACCAGCATGAAAATGCTTGTAACGGAATTGGAGTTTTGTTTGGGTGAGCAGGAAGAGCAGATCACCTTCTAATCAGAAGGTTGGTGGTTTGATCGCTGTCTCCTCCAGTCTGAATGGGCAATATACTACTACCAAGTTTCACAACGATCCATCGGAGTATGAATGTGTGTGAATGTTAGATAGAAAGCACTTGTGTAGAAAGAGCATTACGTGTTTGTGCAAATGGCAGCGAATGAGGCAAGTTGTGTAAAGCGCTACATAAGAAGGGATTCTGTCCCTCTATGTTTAAAAATACGGTTTGGTATTAAATACCAGAATCTATGTTTGTCTCTAATGACACGTTTGATCCAGTTCAGGTTGAATTTGATGCTGAAAATGAGATATTTCTCTCTCAGACTGATATTGACAAATATGAATCCCCAGATAAGGTCATTACTACTTCTTTGGCAGGAATACCTTCAATTTCTTTATGGATACAAGCTTCTTTGAGAGGGAACAGGACACCTTTTGTTATTTAAAGTAAGACCTGATACTTCAGAGAAAGCATTAATACAGTTTTTTAATCTGAAACTCATCTTTCGAGGAGATAGCTGTATCATCTGTTAACTTCCTGGCCTGAGATGGCGATCCCTTCAAATGCATCATTGTCTTCCTTGCACAAAGCCTGATTAACACTCAACTATAATGGCATCCAAACAGAATTGAAGTCTTTCTGTAAAAATATAAGATAGTAATTTGACATCATTGTTAATTTGTGTAATTGGCCTCCAATTATCATTTTGTATCATTTGATTCTTATCAGGTTCAGGTGTAATTAAGCCCCGACACATTGGTGAAAGAAACCTACAAGCTTCTGTGGCCTCCTTTAAAACATTTAATAAGTCAGTGATGTGATCTTGAAAGAGCCTCTGAAATGCTCCAGTGAGTCCATCATCACTTGGGGATTTTTTTCTTGTTCAGTTTACTGATCAACTGTTTGAGTTCTTTCAGAGATAATTCTTGATCACATCATTTCCATTGATTTTTGTCAATAATTTGTGCCCTCATTTTAATCTGTGTAAAGAAAGGTTACGTTTTTTCAGACTGTAGCTTTTGGTAAAATCCCTCAATGACGACAGAGATTTGTTGAGTTTTCAGATATTTTCATTGTTCGTTCTAAGTGTATGTATGTGGTTGATTTCTTTTTTCCAGTTGGTGTTCCTTTTCCGTTGCTCCATCCATTTACTTTGAGTGCGACAATAAGCACCCATAGCCAATGCTAATAAATAAGATTTAATTCAGAGAGTAGTGAACTTCTCATGCTCATGAATAAAATAGATTTTGTTTTAAGTCTCTTTTCTTTGACTTATTCCTTCCTTCTCTTCATTGCAGAAATGTGATATTTTGTGAATTGCCAGTGCTTTCTTAAACATTTTCTTCTGTAGCGTTTCTCCAATTACTGCTAGTAATATTTGTCTTTTTTAATGAGCATATTATTATGAATATTATAAGCATATTACTTAATTTCCATTCATAAATGCTAACTAACGGATGCAGCCGTTCCAGTATTTTGCTCAGGGACGCTTTGACAGGTGAGCTCGTGGAGCCGTGGATCAATCCATCAGCCTTCATAAAGAAAGACAGCCCACTCTTTACCTGACACTTGCTCCCCCCAAGCTGCACTATAATCTTTTTGAGTGGAGCCTCTTAGTTTAACTGAGCTTGAATGGATCGCCTTGATGTTGCCAGTTAAACACTAGGTATCACTGTTGTCACAAAATGAACCCTGCAGATTTTAACACCGGTGTTCTACGTAGTGTGGTTGAAGCCATCCTGATAACCTTATCCCACCGACGATGTGGAGATCCAACTTTTTTAGATCCAATTAAAATCAAGGCAGTCAAAAAGATGCTGGAAAAGAGGAGAATTCTTGGAACAGAGTTTACACTGAATCATATGAACAGCAAGAAAATACATACAGAGTATAGCAAGCAAAGCAAAAATCCCGGGGTGCACAGCCTTAAGCACAGACAGCAGAGCGACCCAGAGATGGACAGCAGCAGGAGAAAAGGAAGTGCTGGGGTGTCCTCTGGTCCCCTAATATAGGACCAGTATCCCCGCCCCTGCATGGGTAACTTTCCCACCCGTCCTCAGGCCAAACACAGCTGCAGGGTCGGGTACCGACAAAAGTCTTGGCCAAAGGCCAGTCAGCACTCTGACTAGCCTTTTCTTTGGCTTATCACAATAGGTCAGAACCAAGTCAAACATTGCACATTAATCCCAATAATTAAATCTTACAACAGGCAGTCAGCATGTGGCATAATCTTATATTATACATGTAAATAATACCTAACTACATAGGTTACATGCTTATTCTCATTGTAGGCTTATAGTAGGGGTGTGTGTGCACGCGCGGGCGAAAGACAAAACACTGACTGGCTGCTCTCATCAAAAACAAGCCAGTTGCGTAGCTCACCATTGTCAGCTTGTTTCACGTTTTCGTTTAAAAAAAAAAAAAAAAAAAAAAATCACAGTTTAACTGTGGGTTCTTCCCTTGACTCGTCCCACTAAACTCCAGAAATGTAAATCTACATTTCAAAAGCTACTGTTGAAATTTTCCTCCTCCTCCCAGAGCCCCTTTTCCATTAGCACCTCCTCGGATCGACTTGTTTTTTGTAGCCATTTCTCCCCTTGCCGGGTTTCAAAAATGGCAGTTTTAATTTTTGTGAACAGGACGCTCTCATGACTCATCGTGTGACGCTACTGACCAGCCAGTCTGACGACGTCACGTTTTAGTATCTGCTCGGATCGCATAGTGGCATTTAGATAGCAGAAACCCAGGCGCATCTCAAATTGAACGTATTTTTCTGTTCAAGTTTAAACCCGCCAGTGGCGAGTGCTAATTTCCACCCCTGCCTGTGCAACAAATGAATGTTAGGTCCAATGTTTTGTTTTGTTTTGTTTTGGGGTTTTTTTGCCCTTTTTTTTTCTAACATACTCCACCCAATACTGAGAAATATCTCTGCACCTTCCAGGTTTTTCCAGTATGCTTTTTTTGTTCAGCACTTTGGTCCTTAGCAGGTTGTTCACAATTCTGCACATAGACTGGCTGCTCTTTGTGAAGACTGAAAGATAAATGTTTGCCACTTAAGGCCATGCAGACCAAGTGTCAGCCTCACACCGGGGTTCCAGTTAAGCAGAGGTTGTGAATTGGTATCAGAGCACATGTGTGTATTCTGCAGCTTTGGCAGCACCGCCCATCATTTCACGGTTCTTGGAATCATTTGTAAGAAATATTAAGTATGTGTGAATGTGTGTTAATAATGTAATAACAAAACAACCAAAAGCCTGTAATACCCCATAATACTGCATTTACCATTTTGGGAAGATGCAGGATTGCATCATTGCATGAATTTGTACATATTCTGTAAGTATTTATGTTGAATGTAAATTTGCACATAATACAGATGGTTGTACCTCTGTCAGGTCTGTGTAAATACATATCAGATATACCAGATGAATAAAAAAAGAACAAAATGTAAATCTGAATGTTCTGAACGACCTGATTCTGAAAAGCGATGAATGTGTAATGGTTAAAGAAATCAGCACAGCAAATGGATTTCTGTATCTGCTCTAATGCTGTGAATGCTGTTGTGTGTTACTCTGCCAGGCTGTCCAAAGGAGATCCATCAGCTTTTCTGCCAATACTGAGTTTCACCCTCACCTCCTTCTCTCCACCTTTTGCTGAGCAACTGATGGCAGCTGGTTTAGAGCTGACGGGTAAAACTGACCTCCGCTTTACGGAGGCCGTTTATAAGGTAACAAATTCCTGTGTTTAGAGTGTTGTCTTTTTGCTAATGTGCAAAAACTGTTATACTGCTTGAGCCGCCCCTTGTTTCTCCGTGCTTCAAAGGTGTTGAGGTCTGCGCCCTCGGGTTAGATGCCTCTGTCAGGTCTGTGCTAGACACAATTTAAGTTTGATTCTTTGTTTCTGTTACATGTTGACTAAACACTGGTTCATCCCTCGAGTTAGGCCGCTTTTTATGCTCGAGTGATTTACAGGTTAGTGTTAAGAGGCTTAACAAAGAAAAACCATTCATCTGAAAATGGTCAGATACAAGGACTTGAGTGGAAATGAATGAAAAAGCCGCCAACGTTCAAAGAAAAAGGCCTCAGGAACTATTACTCAAGACCACCGTTAAGAAATGAACAGAAGCTTGTTGGAATAAAAAATAAGAAAGAAATGAAGGATTGCTTAAGAGTTTTGCAGAGCACAATATGACAACCGTTCAAAGATGGTATTGACCTAAAAGTGTTGACCTACCATTGCCAAGAACATGGGTCTATTTGTGTTACTCTGTGTGAGGCCTGTTTCTGTGATTAAACATTGTTACAGGGATGCAACAACAGGAATAAAGGATGCACACAAACAGACTTGAGAAACCGTATGTTTGGTATAGGAAATGAAAAGCATGAGGAACTCACCCACATTAGTTACAACACAGAACATTTCTCTGGTTCACCTTGTTGTTTGTTTCCAAATCCTGTCATGCTTCATTCATTGAGTTATGTTACGTTCAGTAATCACACAGTTAGCCTTTTGTTGTGTGAGGAAAGCAGTTATTACTGAAAGGAAAAAAATAAATATAAAGAAATGCTAAATATTAGGAAAAGGTGTATAGATAAGAACAGCTCTTATAATTTCATTGCACTGAAGAGTAGATCTGATGATGTCAGAGCGCTGCAGCAAGCAGGAGGCTAAACACTGACACAAAGCTGTCTGTGGCTGTAGCTGGGTATTTGTAAGGATAATGTGAGACACATTTAAAATAATACAACATCGTTTGTCAGTAGTTTTTACCTCTCAGTAGTAAAAAGCTGGTGGGGTGTTGTCGTCACCCTTCTACCAAAACCTTGGACAAGTTTGAATATCAGTGATGTCTACCTCAAGGTCAGAGGTCACGGTTTCTGAAAATCGTGTGAATGAGATCACTTGAGAGCAGGGTGATGTAGGGTATTGAAACTGATGCTGTAGGTGTATCTACGAGGATGCTGAGGGGTACCACTGGTCACTGCCAGTATTTTCCACATGTGTAGATATTATACTTCACACGCTACACTTTAAGGAAGGCAAGCCAAAGTGAGGAAAGCTAGCCATGGTCACAAGCAAGGGTGCAGAGAAAAGGTTTGTTGACCAGGTATGTAAAGAATAGATATGAAATTAAAGGGTTTACATACAGTGTTAACACATGTTACACAAGGGATAGCTAATAGAGCTATAGCGTGCCCATTCCTAAACACAAGCCTAATGTAGCGTTGCTCGATAATGTCATGTGTGTTTTAATCCAATAATGATAACGTTCACTGGGAACGAAAGAAGTGCTAAAAAACATCAAACACCAAAAAATAAAGCATGAAAAGCACAGACAGAGACTGCAGTTTAGATCTTTTTGTTTTCAACACTTCAGCTCAGTATGTGCTTCACTCTTCATCGTGGACCAGCAACAGCAGGAGTACACACAGACTGGCTGTAGCACATACTGTGTACACTGCCTCCATCTGACCAAAGAGCAGACAGCGAGCCCGCTCTCTCTACTTTTAATCCCATTTACAGTAGAAAAGTGCTTTATAAGAAAGTCCATTCAGTCCTGTAACAATGTGTCCAGCTTTGTGTGTTTCCTGTCTCCGTTTTGTCTGTCAAGGTGTTACGAGATATCTTCCAGTATAAGCCCTTGCTGACCAAGCAGCAGTTCCTGCAGTGGGGCTTCTCTCAAAGGAAAATCTCTGTCATCTGTGACATTATTAATTTGGTCCTGCAGAAACACAGCCAGCTGAAGAAGGTACGAAACCTGCCATTTGTTTTTATTTCCATGTATTTGCCTCAAATGGAGAGCGCTTGTTCCAGAAGTTTCTGTAGTGTGTTTGTTGGGTTTGTGTTTGTTGCTGGGTCACAAGTGGCACACTGTTACACGAGTCATTTCTCACTCCAAGTTTCTCAAAGCAAACATTTAATATATGACTTGTCACAAGATATAATAATATCCAAAGGTACAGGGAGTTGCTCAATGTTTCATTCCTGAGTAAAAAATACTGTTAACTACTCTGAACAGGATCTCCACAGGGACCAGTATAGCTCACTGGTTCAAGTAGGTGACCCATATGCTGCACGCCTACTGGAGAGGCAAAGGTTTGAATCCTTCCTGAGGCCATTTCTTGTGTCTTCTCCCTGTTCGTTCCCAGCTTTCCTGTCTTGTCTTCACTGTCCTGTCTCAGTAAAGAAAGGAATAAAGAAAAGCCCCGAAAATATATTTAAAAAACCCCCAAAACATTTGAATGGCTCAGAGGACAAACCACTGAGACACACACAATTCAGCTGAGTAACAGTGTAACACAGCAGTGTAATGTACTGATTATTAGTTACTACGTTAAACTATAACTGTTACATACTCACCACAAATCATATGTAGTATAGGATGAATATATTAGGCCAAAAAAGTCTAATATTAAGAATGTTTCTGATGATTTTTCTGAACCAAATACAAGTGTGTTGACTTTTAAAAGTCAGACCTGTTTGTTCTCACAGTGATAAATAGAAATACCATTTGTACCACAGTTTGCAGCCACACAGAAAACAGCAGAGGTGCTAAAGTGGTCAAATACACTGTCGTTTACTTCATTGGCATTCAATACATTTCATAACATCAGAGAGCTGCCTTGGTATTCTCCAGCAGTGGGAAAAAAGAGACCAATTATGGACATGAGATGGGGTGGCTGCTGCTGAATAATCATGCCAGTGGACCTGCCAGTTAAAAAATAAAACAGAACTGCCACCCATGTGCTTTGTTTTGTTTTTGCCAGTTTAAAAAATGGTAACAATAAAGTACATATGCATTTCTTCCACTGTATGGTACAGCTCAACCCCACTCGTGGGCCATTTATCAATATGCGTACTTGTGTGTTCTTGTGGACTTCGGAAACTTCATCAGTCACAGCCCATAGTTCCACCTCACAGTGTGAGAAACGGTTAGCATACAGCAGTCCTGTAGCCCAGAGTCGAATGCTCCGGCACCCAAGTCTGGTGTGAAGTCGTACATGACCAGCTGGTGTCCAGAGAATGGCATAGCATTGTACACAACTGTACATCAGTGATGCAGTTTACTCAATGCGACAGGCACTCAAAGAAAGTCATGTCTTTGTTAACTGAAAGCCGTTCACAGATGTTTGGAGGATCACGTTTACAGAGAGGCGTGACGATAACAATGTAACATTAACAGCTGATCGTTGTGTTTTTATCTATTTTAGGTATCCAGGAAGTCATTTGTCATACATCACATGGAAAATCCTATGACATCTCCCACAAACTCCTCCCATACTGAACCATTGTCCTTGTATAATGGAACATGTGCCTCTGGTGACGTACACTCCCCTGATTCTTCCAGCAGTGACGCTGCAGAGCTGCCAGGAAAAGAGGATAAGGACAACAGCCTCCATGTTAGTGAACTCCTGTGACAGATGTTGGTTATTTGAGATTTTACTAACACGTGACTGCTAACCATGTGACATTAACTTGTCTCCACCCGTGAAAATCGTGATGACAACTTAGAATAAAATGAATAAGGCCCAAATCACACAGGCTTTGAGGTTAGTCAGTGGCCATCTGGCTAGTACCGGTTGTGAGGGGGAAACTGGGTACTCCCTGACCAGTTGCAAGTGGTTACTTGAGGTTGATGGGAACATCTCTGGTAAAGCCCCGGTCAGACAGACCTAGAGACTGACCTGTGATTCGCTCACCAGTTGGCAAACGGCACCGTGTGATTGATTTGTTGGCAAGCATGTTGCCATAGTTGTCCGTAGTTTGGATGAAAGTAACAAATTCATCACTCGCTGGCAACTCTCCAAGCTATAATGAATCTGTGGAAAGGGCAAATTGGAAACTGAGACCATCTGCGCTTTGAGAGATGTTGGGTACAGCTCTTTCACTTTGAAGCTTGTGTCACACTTTCTGAAGTTTTGCTACCGTCACCTCCCGCAGTCACTTACAACCAGTCGGGAAATACACATTGTTTTGCCTAGCAGGGTGGGTGTATCATGTCCAATATACTGGACATTCTTTAACGAATGATGTCAAAAAATCTTAAAAGATTCAGTGCGTCTCAAAGTTTAATAGGCATGAAAGTCTGAGGATATGTTCAGGGTAGGTTGAACACATGTCAGCACCATGAGTGGTGTATATGGCAGACAGGTTTTGGACTCGAGAGGCAAAACCTGAACTCAAAAACGGCTTTATTGCATGTGACATTCCAGAAATGCAAAATAAAGAGCTCACTGGAGCCAGGAATACAGAACACTAGGCAATTAGAGAAAACCATGGCACTAGGTAGCAAAGGAGTCACACAGCAAAGAGCACACATGGAGACAATAGAAACATGGCAGGTGATGAGGACAAGGAAGAAGAGTGGCAGGAACAAACTGGGAGAACAACTGAGCATTCATATGCTTAGTTGACACAGACAAAAGGTCAAAATACACGGACACATGACTGACTGAGGAGATGAGAGTAACTACAGAGGGACACAAAGGGAACAAATCAGGCATGACAAGGCAACTGGACCTAAACTGGACATTGAAGCACAGGAGACAAAAGCCTACTTAAGTACAGGAAGTAACAGAACATGGAATCGCAAACAGACAAAAGCTACAGAAGCACAGGGACCACAGTGGAAACAAGATTCATTGGGGACCCTAAGGATACAAAATAAACTAAAACCGAGGGACTGAAGTAGATGAGAAAGCGCTCATCTACTTCGCTTAAAATATCAATATTGAAAAACGTTCGACTGAAAACACTGGGTCCAAACTCAGGGATGGTAACAAGAGCTCAGCTATGCAGTGTCTGGCCTCAGCAAGGTCAGTATTCTGGAGAAACGCCTGGAGCAAGGCAGGAAAACAGACAAAGCTAAGATACTCCCTACTTATTTAAAATATGTTGCCCTTTCTTTAGTCTTCTCTCTGATAGACAACAGGAAAGAGAATAACCTGAGCGCTTCTTTCCTGTAATTATCATATTCTTTTCCAGAATGTGGGAGAAGTCGTCACCGTATCCAGAGAAAGCTGGGAAAAGCTGATAAGCAGAGTCCTGCTGTTGGAAACAAAATTTGAACAGAGAAATACAGAGGTAGGTGTGTGCACATGCTGTGACGTCTGCTTTTCTCCCTGTAATTCTGTTGATTAGGGGTGGGTTTAAAACATCGATTTCCTGATTCAAATCAAATTTATATCGAACAAATGTAAACTTGATGCCAAATTGCAAAACTCTCAGCTGTGTCTGTAATCAAACCTCTAACTTTGCTCTGCTTCACTTCAGCAGCATCAGGTCATGTTCAGATGCTGATTGATGGTTTTCTTACGTTTTTGTTCTACTGCAGAATATTTTTAAGGTTATCTGCTATAAAAGCCAATCTGCTTCATGTTTCTGTTTGATCCTCAGTCACTTTGACACAAAGGCCTCTGCTGTGATGCTCACACCTCTGATGAAGTCTCACAGTGTCAGCTTTGGTTTTATACATAGACAGGAAATATATTATAATTCTGATCATTTATAAGTGCATATCCATATTTTTAGATCTGAGTCCAAATTTAATTGAATCGAATCAGGACCTTGTGAATTTGCTTTTTCAGATTAAATTAAACCACCTTTTCTAAATGATTGGTAATCTGCAACCAGTTTACCCAAATGGTTTAAAAATGGCCATTTTAGTTGCATCTCCTTTTGCCTTCTCATGTCTTTTATTTTAGGTGCACAATACACAGCCGTGCCAGTCGCCTACCTCATCGCATGCTTCCAGTTACACAATTGATCCTTCAAAGGTGAGTAATTTGCTCCTTATCTGTCCTGTGTTGTAGTCGTAGTAGACCAAAGTGTAGACATGTGACCTTCTTGACTGTTTGTACACTGAGTCATTTGGAAAAAAAGGTAATTAAGCTGAGTTGAAAACCTTATGTTTTCAAGCTTTCTCATGATTGGAATGAGTTAACCGTACTTTAAATTTTGTGTTATTATTTTAAATTCTGTTCTGTTATGCTGTCTATGCAATTAAGTACCATTCATTTAGACCTGCTGGCACCTCCACGACTTCTTTGGCTGCGAGTCACAGTGACACGTATCTAAAGAGAAACCTCAACATGATATGGTAGAAATCACACAGTCGTTTAGGAAAATTCATTTGAGATGTTTGTAGTTTTGCTCAGTCACTAACATGGAGTGTTCTGGGATTTTGTGGAATCATTAAATCACTGCCTATAATTAAGTCTCAGGACACCTATTTGTACTTTATATCAGTCGCAAGTAGAATAAACTTACACTTATGTTTTTATATTTATACTTTCCATCAGACTGTTCAACACCATCTGAGATGCAGCTAAAAAATACAAAACTGTCTTATGCTAATTTAAACGTTCATTTAATGGAATAAGTCTGTTGGCATTTTTGCCAGCTTTCCTTTTCTTTATAGTAGATTTTTTCCAGTCTTACTGTCTGACACATTTAAAGCTGCTGCTCAGTATTCAGTGGGATTGCTCAGATGTTGCCAGTGTCACCCCTTGCACGCGCGTGTACCTAGATTAGGAAAGCCAGGGTAACTTAACAGGTTGATAACCAGCTTCATGTGACCATTCACCGTGATTGCTGATGGTAGTGTCAGTGAATCCAGAACAAAAAGATACCCTGGGTATGTTAAACTTGCTTCCTGGTACAAGGCCCATATTTGGGCGTATGAGGACGACTTCTGGCTTATCTCTGCTATCACTACAGAAACTTATTTTGTAGGCCAAACTTGGTAGGAAATCACCATTTACTGACCAATTGAGAACATTATTCCTGGATTTTATTTATTTGGGCGGTCGTGGCTCAAGAGTGGGCAGTTCGTCTTGTAACCGGAAGGTTGCCGGTTCGAGCCCCGGCTCGGACAGTCTCGGTCGTTGTGTCCTTGGGCAAGACGCTTTACCAGGTGCCTACTGGTGGTGGTCAGAGGGCCCGGTGGCGCCAGTGTCCAGCAGCCTCGCCTCTGTCAGTGCCCCAGGGTGGCTGTGGCTACAATGTAGCTGCCATCACCAGTGTGTGTGTGTGTGTGTGTTTGAGATTGTGTCATTTGAAAACAGAAAACTTTCCAAGGTGTCCGAATTGAAGTATTTATTTCTTAACCTGCTGTTTGTTTGTTTGTTTGTTTGTTTGTTTGTTTGTTTGTTTGTTTGTTTGTTTGTTTGTTTGTTTAGGAAGAGTGTAAACGGGCTACTGACGGGATACAAAGGGTTGCCAACTTGTAAGTACCTGATTGTACTTCTGCAGTAGAAGCAGCCTGATTTTCAGTGTAAAGCTGTTTTGATGCAGTTATACTTCTTTAACTGTGAGATTTGCAGGCTGAAGAGCACCTCCAGTCTGTTGCACACTGAATCATCCACAACACACTGAATAATAACACTCAAAGCTTTAGTGCACTAAAGCTTTACTATACTTTAGTATACTGTATACTTATTATACAGGTGCATATCCACCCATTAATGAGTTTAACCAGAGAAAAATAGTGAGGCTTAACAAACAGACAGAGATATCAAAGGGAGTAAAAAGTTTGACAACATCAATATAATTCATGCAGAGATGTAAACCGGAGCACTCACAGTCAGCTAAATGCATCAACAGAAAGTTATCAGCACAACGATTCAGACAAAGAGCTTTTTAGGGTAAAGAGTGAATATTATCAGTCACCTGACCTGCGTCCGACTGAACGGCATTCCACCAAAAACAGAGCGCTCTAGGAGAGCCTCGCATACAAGAGTCTGCTGGTGTCACCAGTTCCAGCACTAAAATGGAAAATTGTGATTTCACATGATGTTTTTGTTACTTTTGTCTTAATAAAGGTCCTGGTGCACCATGAGTTCATCAGTCAGTGACCCTCCCTCTTTAACGTTTGGCTACAGATTCGGTGGGCTTCCTAAACTCTTTTACTTTGCAGTAATACTACTTACAGCTGGTCACAGAATATAGGAGAGAGGGACCTGTTGCAAAGGTGCCATGCTATTACGTTACCGTGCTCAGAATTCACAGAGCTCCTTAGAATGAGCCACTTTTATACCCTTGTAGCATGTTGACTGCAAATACCTGAATTTTATCTCTATAGTGTAGCTGCACAAGCTGATGAATGACCTGTTAGTGCCAAACAGACATGAAGTGTACTTCACAAGTGCTGCTCTTTATATGGCAGCTGTTAACCTTCTAATTATGTTCTTAGAGCTTGAGCTCAAGTAATTAGGGATGTGGGTGTTTATCGTTTTCATTATGACTGAATGTCATAGTTCGAAGAAGTGGATCTGTACAGTTCAGTTGAGAGGGTACAAGGACCTTTTCAGTCCTTTGGCCAATAAGAAACGTCACTAATGTTAAACTTACTATAAATGTGTCATATGGTCATTGTGTGAATAATTATCAAGGAAGAGCACTGTCCTGTCCTCTAACACAATCAACCCAGTGTGAGTTACATGTGGGTGGGTCTACAGGAGGCTCTTCAGCCTGCTGTGGAGAGAATGATATAATAAATAGTTTTAAAGTGCTTTGTTGGCTCCATTTACATATAGGTGATTTTCACGTACTTTACCAAAGACGTATATGCCACCCTGCCCCACCCCTGTAAGACTTTCTCGATCCGCCACTGTGACCGAAGAAGCTGCAGTCCTTTGAAGCAAAAGTCAGGGCAGAAAAACCCCTCACAGTCCGGCCTTAAGCGCGGGAGATTTCTTCCTGTGTTGTGACGTGGTTCACGGTGTCGTAGCGACCATCGTGCGGTATCAACAAAGGCTGCCGTTGTCAGAGGGATTTATACCAGTTACTTGTTACAATATGGAAGAAACCCGACAGCGTTCTAGTTTAAACAGGTAACCTTTCTCTACACGTGCCGGGAAAGGCTCGGATTTCCACCGAGAAGCAGCTGAGTCTGTCCGCGTGTGGTGCGCTGTTACGTAGTGTTTTAGTATATGTTCCACCCTGAGCCAATGTCTTTCATTTATCAGTCCGTCGCAGTGTTTTTCACATTTATTTTTAATGCTCGGAGGTTGTAAAACTGTCTCACTGGGCTGTTAGTGACGTTTCGAGTTTTATGGTGCGTTCCTGCATCGCCGGAAGTTCCCCGTTGGAGAGATTTTGTGGAATGCCAAAAAAAAAAGGAGGAAGACCTACAGAGTATGAGTGACATGGTTTTAATGTTGTGACTAATTGGTGTATATCTGAATAGTATCAGTCTTGTTACAAGTGCTGATACTGAAAACCATTATGTTCAAGCTTTTACTAAAGGTTATGCACACTGAGCTTCTACTCAGGAGACTCTGTGGTGTTTATATGTAAATGATTGTTTTGGCAGCTCATCAATTAATACATACGAATGTACACATCAGATAACACAAACTGAATCGTAACATTGATGGTGAGTTACCAGAGTGACGGCTCACAAAGCTGTGAAGTCCCTTAAACCAGAACTGGACAGTTTTTGTTTTCTCTCACATAACTTCATAAATCTCTTGGGTTTTTTCTCTATAGTGGCAAAACCAAGAAAAGAGAGGACTACCTTGAGTGGCCAGAGTACTTCATGGCTGTGGCTTTTCTGTCAGCACAAAGAAGCAAAGACCCGAGCTCCCAGGTACGTCTGCCTTTGCTTATGTGTCAGGGCTGAAACAGATACTTTACTATGAGTTCATATCCAAATTTCTGGTGTACAGAACTGAGGTGTGGTTCAGGTTTAGAAGAGTCTTTTACTATGAGTTTACTGTTGTTGTTGCCATTTGCATGTTGGCATGAGAATGTGTGGTTGCTCTCATCTCTCCCCAGCTGTCTGAGGACACCGAGGAGCTCCCAGGCCGGCCGAAAGGCACAATCTCCCATTGTGTTAAAATATAATGTATTAGCAGGAACGTTTCTAATGCAATAGGTTAATGTGAAAACGGTCAAACGTCACCTTCATTGTCAAGCTGTCTACGCACAGTCCTAGTTTAGTTTGTTTCCTCTTGCTGTCCAAAAACAGGGAGACGAGGTTTAGGCCTGCTCGGATGTGATGTTCACTGTTGATGTAATGATTATTTAACACAGTTACTCAGACTCTGAAGGAAAGAAAAACAGGGAAAAAGTGGAAATTGAACGTGCCCCAAAAATTGTATTTCCTCCCAATTTAAATATGCAGATGAAAGAAAGAGAAAACACACAAATTTAAGGTGAGCTGAATATTAGAAAGTCTGTCAGGGAGCGAATTTGGGCATGCATTATTGTAAAATAGGACGTGGTGGTATAATAATTTTAATTTCTTTGTATTTGTCTTTGTATGTGTCTCTCTGTATATATGTCCCTCTGTCTCGGTGTCTCTCACAGGTGGGAGCATGTATAGTGAACCAGGAGAATAAGATAGTGGGCATCGGTTACAACGGTATGCCTAATGGCTGTAATGATGACCTGCTGCCATGGTCTCGCTCTGCTGATGACCGGCTTGACACTAAATACCCTTATGGTGAGAATGCACACTGTCACTTTTGCTTTCCTCTACAACAGCTTGTTTTAAAATGGTGTATTTGGTGCATTAATGTAACAAAGCACTCCTGCTTTGTGTGGGAGAATGTCTGGAGTAAACCAAATCCTATCTACATTTGCACCATACTGCCAAAAGTATCTGTTCATCTGCCCTCACACCTGAGCGACTCATTCTTTCACAGATGTTTATCTGTGTGTGATTTTATGCACCTGTGGTCATGGAAGTGGATGGAACAAAGTTTCAAAGGTTTGGCCAGTTGGGGGCAGCAGAGGCTACATGATGAAGTGCTATCAAACTTGCAGTGTGTTTTAGAGACTGAGGTTTGTTTCGATGTCGTGTCTCACAGTGTGCCACGCAGAGCTGAATGCTATTATGAATAAGAACAGTGCTGATGTGAAAGACTGCACCATGTATGTGGCGTTGTTCCCCTGTAATGAGTGTGCCAAGCTCATTATTCAGGCAGGTGAGTATTAACAGCACACACTGTAACTGTTTCTACATTTATACTGACTCATGAAGGTCCAGGTAATAATATTAGGAGTCACAGCCGCCAATGTTGGCAGAACTCACTTCATTTTTAATAATAATAATAATAATAATGGATTATTATGGTCTGGTTGGTTAGCCATCACCAGTTTGTCTGAATAACAAATCAAGCAGACACCCAACAAAGTCAGACGACTGTATTTGTCTTTCTGTGACTTGTCCCTTGTAAGAGTTATATATTTAGTTAAAAGTCCACACCTCCATCCCATAATGACTGATTTAAAATATGTTGTCAAGTAGAGTCAAAACCATTTAAAAAATTGTGATTAAAGCACATTTCCATTTGTGCCCAGCTATTATTCTACAAAGAAACTTGTTAGAAACAGTGTTTTTATGGCCTCTCTCGGCTTTGATAACAGCTTGCATGTTTTCTGGCATTGCTTTTGTACTTGCTGCGATGTGTGTGTGTGTGTGTGTGTGTGTGTGTGTGTGTGTGTGTGTGTGTGTGTGTGTCGTGTGTCGTGTGTGTGTGTGTGTGTGTGTGTGTGTGTGTGTGTGTGTGTGTGTGTATGTGTGTGTGTGTATGTGGGCACAGGAACAGTACCTTGTTGCAGTCATCTGCAGCTCCCTGACAGATCTGAAGTCTTCCTGTACATTTGTTGACCTCCTTAATGCTCAGTCGCTGCTTCTTAGCAGCTATTCTTCCCTTTTCAGCCTTGTTCATTCAGTTGTCTGATTATGGTCATTCTGACTTCTTCGTAGCAGTAATCTTCTTTTCTCTCCCAGTACTTAAAAGTTTGAGGTGTGTGGCATCTGTTTCAGTCAGCTTTCATTTTCTGCCTCTTCTTGGCACATTTTCTAAGTACCAGTGTTTGCAGCATGCTTGACCACATTGTGAGAACAACATCTTTCCCCCTATTTGTTTCAAAGACCACCCAGTTATTCACATTTTCATTTAGTTCTAGATGATTTAGACTGCTCAGATAAGACATAAATTATAATAATGCGATTTGCTGTCTGTGCAGGTACTCGGTCACCCAGGATGTGGTCGTCTTAGGAGCTTGAAAGGAAGGCAGTTTGACTTCTTTAGGTTTTTTGAAGATGAAAACAGCCTCTCATCCAAGAGGACGAGAGGCTGTTTTCAGGCCAACAGTGTTTAAACCCCAGTGGTCGCTGACCATCTATTAGTCATCAGTGTTATCATATGAGCCAAGGTGTGAAAGAGGGCGTAGGGGCGACCGTGGTTCAGGGGGTTGGGAAGCTCATCTTGTAACCGGAAGGTTGCCAGTTCGATCCCCAGCTCTGTCTGTCTTTGTCCTTGGGCAAGACCAGAGGTGGTGTGATATGGCAGCCTCGCTTCTGTCAGTCTGCCCCAGGGCAGCTGTGGCTACACCTGCAGCTGCCTCCACCAGTGTGAATGTGAGAGTGAATGAACAGTGGAATTGTACAGCGCTCTGAGGGTCTCGAAAAGCGCTATAAATGCAATCCATTATTATTATTATTATTATTATTATTATTATTATTACTACCTCCAGGGGTTTCAGGTGAGCCACATCCTATCACCTGACTTACTTGTCAGATTAAAGGTTCACGCTTGTGATTCTAGGAACTTTTAAAACTGCTCTTGAAACTCACCTCTTCTCATTGGCTTTTAGCAAGGTTGAACTTATTGCTTTAACTTATTGTTTTATCAGTGAGGTGTTTTATGTACTTGTGTTTTATTGTATTTTATATTTGTATTTTCTTGTACAGCACTTTGCTCAGCCTTGGTTGTTTTTAAATGTGCTTTATAAATAAACTTGACTTACACGATGTAACCTGGTGCAAAGTGTGAGTGTGGGTTGTGGCCACCACCTCTGTTCAATAATGGTCATTCACAGTGGACATAGATGGCCTTTTTTACATTTCAGAATGTGATTCACTGCGACATCAGGCTGCAGAGTGGGTCAGTCCTTTGGAACAGAAAAGCGTGCATATTTAAAAAGTGTTAAACTCTCATCGGTGTGTCCGTTACTTAGTGTTTAATCAATTAACCTTAATTGATTTGCAATATTCCATCCTCTGTAATATCAAATAAGATTAATTTATGACCCCTCCCTCACTTTCTCCAGGTCTGAAGGAGGTGGTGTATCTTTCTGATAAGTACCATGACACACCTGAAATGACTGCTTCCAGAAGGCTGCTCAGTATGGCAAAGATCGAGTGCAGGTAAGTTACACGTTAGTCTAGAAGGAGAAACTGATGCTTTGTTGCCTTAAGTACGGCCAAACCACTCCGGACCAGAGACTGAATTCAGGCCAGGCGGTGGTTACGTTTCTGCAGTAGTCTGTCTCGGACACTTTCAGAATGTTGTAACTCAGGATGTATCAGGAAGCTTTTCCATGCTTGCAGAATCCCACTGCTGCAGATATTATGGCCAAATAGCAAAACTAAAGCTTGTGCTTAAAAGTTGTTGTGATGATGGTGCTTCACCTAAATTTCACACAATTCCTCCTTCATTCAGTACAGAGAACAATCTCTGTGGATGTTGTCATACTGTGACTGTAGTTGAGACTGCCCAATAGATGCATGCTAAATCCAATAGCACGAGTAAGTGGAACTGCATCCAAATCTTAAACTTCAGATTTTATATCAGTTGCAATAAAACATTTCTTGAGTGCAGAGGCTGAAGTGGGTGTATTTTTGTTCTATTTCTATTTGATTGCTTTACAAAGTTACCAAGAACTCTGCAAATTCACAAAATTCAGGTTGCATTTGTAAATTGGATGAGTGACGAGAGGTTTCTCCCTCTGACAGCGCTGCGTCCAGATGAACACAATCAAACTTTGGGATTTACCTGGATGATTGAGCATGCATCAAGACATACAGTACGCTTATTTACATAGCCCCAATTAACAACAGCTATCTTTTAGACGTGTTGACTTACAATAAGTCGGTATAAACAAAGGACCACCAGATCTGAGAACTAAGCGGACAGACATGGAAGGGAGCACAACAAATGAACTGTGCAAGTGAAAATGTGGTGAAAGGGTTGGAATTGTTATGGAGGTCAGAAGAGGATGATTCATGTATTTGATTTAAAGGGAAGAGAAGATGTAAAGAAAAGTAAAGCGCCTGTTTCAGCGGGAGAAATGTGTTGTTTTCCTCAGCTGGGATGAACGGCTGAAAAATAGGATCAAGGGTGTGCAGAGCAGCCACAGCTCCACCTGCTGGCGATCCCAAGAAAGTACCAAATCAAGATTTCACCAACCCTGTAGACCAGGGGATCAAAGTCATTTTACATTTTACAACCACAAACAGCTCACTTTGATCCTAAGGTGGCCAGACCAGTGAAAGTCTTTTCTGTCAGTGTAAAGAAGTTACATATTTAACTGTTTGTTTGTTTTTTACTAAAGCGAAAAAGGTTGGAGATTGGCCTATAATTAGCTAAGACTGCTGGGTCTAGAGATGCTTTTTGAGTAAAGGTTTAACTACAGCCAGCTTGAAGGCCTGTGGTACATAGCCGATCATTAGAGATAGGTTGATCATATTTAAGATCGAAGAATTAATTAATGGCAGGACTTCTTTGAGCAGTTTTGTAGGAATGGGGTCTAAAAGACACGTTGATGGTTTGGAGGAAGTAATTATTGAAGTTAACTCAGAAAGATCAATTGGAGAAAAAGAGTCTAACTTAACATCAATGGTACTAAGAGTAGCTGTAGATAATATTACATCTGTGGGATGATTACTGGTAATTTTTTCTCTAATGATAAAAATTTTATTTGTGAAGAAGTTCATGAAGTCATTACTAGTTAACGTTAAAGGGATTGGTTGGCTCAACAGAGCTCTGACTTGTTTGTCAGCCTGGCTACAGGCTGAAGAGAAACCTGGGGTTGTTCTTATTTTCTTCAATCAGTGATGAATAGTAAGATGTTCTGGCTTTGCGGAGGGCTTTCTTATAAAGCAGCAAACTATTTCTCCAGGCTAAATGATGATCCTCTAAATTTGTGACACGCCATTTCCTCTCCAGATTACGAGTCATCTGCTTTAGGGTACGTGTTTGAGAATTATACCACGGAGTCAGGTACTTCTGATTAGAGACCTTAGTTTTCACAGGAGCTACAGTATCCAGAGTCGTACGTAGTGAGGAGGTGAAATTATTAACAAGATAATCGACCTCTGTTGGGGTAGCGTTCAGATAGCTGCTCTGCTCTGTGTTGGTACAGGGCATTGGAGATGATAACAGTGGGTGGATTATATTCTTAAACTTAGTTACAGCACTTTCAGAAAGACATCTACTTTGATAAAGTCTACTCTCCACCGCTGTGTAATCAATTATTGTAAAAGTAAATGTTATCAGGAAATGATCAGACAGCAGAGGGTTTTCAGGAAACACTGTTAAATGTTCAGTTTCTATGCCATATGTTAAAACAAGATCTAGAGTGTGATTAAAGTGGTGGGTGGGTTCTTTTACATTTTGAGAGAAACCAATTGAGTCTAATAACAGATTAAATGCCATGTTGAGGCTGTCATTTTTAGCATCTACATGGATGTTAAAATCACCCACAATAATTATTTTATCTGAGCTCAGAACTAAATCAGATATAAAGTCTGAGAAATCAGACAGAAACTCTGTGTAAGGCCCAGGTGGACGATAGATGATAACAAGTAAGACTGGTTTCTGAGTTTCACAGCTGGGGTGGACGAGGCTCAGCATCAGGCTTTCTAGGTGTTCTGTCTGCTATACGGACTGTGTGTAATTCGGCTGTGATGGAACCAGTTTAAAATGAGCTGTAGATAAGGTCTGCTGTTAGACTAAAATAAAAAGGTACCCGCCAGAGCACTCACTGTGAAAGATGCACTGATCACACCTGCATTTTAAAAATAAGAACACAGCTGGTCACAACAAAATAAGAAACACACTTTAATAAATAATCGTAAAGGTAGAAATGATCAACTTTATTATCTTGTCCAGACCTGCATGCAGCCTCTCTGTTCAGGCCTGAGTTGCAGCTGTGCTGCTCTGGATTCGCCTCTTTATTTGCTCCGATTAGTTCTCTACAGTCTGGACTCTGCTGTTAGTGAGGGGAAGAGCTGTGTCTGTCTGCAGCCACAGCACTGTTTGTATCACAGTTGTTTCAAACGAGTATCGTAACCCTGCACTTCTAGAAAGCTCATCATACAGAGAAGACTCTGGGAGGCCTGTGCAACTCAGGGGCCGTTTCAGGAACACCTGCTAGACCCAAGTTATGATGCTCGATGTGGCTTAAAAAGATCCCAAGACGTGTCTGTGAGCTGAACTATGGATTTTTGTGGTTACAAACCTCTACATGAACCTTGTTATAACTTATCAGAGTAGGAGGCCAATAAAAATCTTTCAAAGGTGCATTTTCTTTTCTTTAAGCATTTTCTGTGTGTAAAGGTGCGTCTCTGACTAGTCTGTGTGTGTTTGGTGTTTTCACAGGCAGTTCAAGCCCAAGAGGACTGAGATTGTCATTGATTTTAGCTCCATTAACTGCTCTGGAATGCTGAACTGTGCAACCAAGTGAAAATGCAAATGCCTCACCTTGAGGAGCTGTTGAATGAGGCAGTGAGTCAAAGGGACTTTGATGCCTCTTTTTGTGCTTGTCTTCTCGCCTCCTGCTTTGTCCAAAGGAAAACTCAAGGATAACCTGACTTTGGCATCTTAGATATTTTGATTTGCTGCTTTAACGTTTTTCTTTTAAAACTTCCTCTGGGTCAAGGAATTCATAAGGCTTATGAACAAACTGTTGTGAGTAAATCAGAAATCTGTTTCTGTCAAGCTTGCAGGCTCGTTCTCCTCCATGAAGATCACTTAACCTTTGTTCACATTCACAGCTGAGACTGGGAGATGCTGTCATTACTGCTGGCACTCGGAGCTTCAGCATTCAGTATTTTATCACTACTTCCCTCCTCTCGGCTGATGCCACCTCTACAATACTGGGCTTTAATATTGTTAATACGAGTTAGCTTCATGCAGCTGAGCCTCATCACTCATTAGAGCCAAATGCTCGTTTTAATTAAGCAAACAAGCTGTGAAAGGCTGATTGTGTACTTTTGTGAATATGATTACTGCAGATCCAGGTGACGTAGGTGCAGCGACTAAAGATCTTGGATGAGGTCGAATCCTGGTGACCTCAACATCTGACTTCAAAGTTGGTGTCAGAGGTCAAGTTTTAAGTCTTGGTGATAAGTCAGGACGATTTCCCGTGTATTTAGTGCAGCTGCATCTACTACAGGATGAGGTGTGACGCTGGAAGCTGCCAATATTATTTGCAATTAAGTTCATCAAACCTGTTTACCAAAAGTAATGTCTGTAAATTTGACCCCATCCCTGACGTTTTACTTCTACTCTTTAATGCCTCCTCTGTAGTGAAGAATGTCTTTACTGCAGCTGGAGTCAAGTGTCAGAAACAGGAGCGCACCGTTGTTATTTTGGACCTTTGTAACAGAATGTTTGATTGTACCACAGTAAATCTTTCATTCATTAAACACACGTGAAAACGAATCATTTGTTTATTTTGTGTCCGTGCACCACTGAGGCCCACACAGGTAGGAAACACTGCTCACAGCCTCGTCCACTGTCACTGCAGCTGAAAAACCTGGGACACATTAATACTGCCCATGTTACACATTATATTATTTATGTTATTGTTATTCTTACTTAGTGGGGGGGGGTTCTTACCACTGTTTTTTCCTGCTATGGTGATGGTAACCATCAGAGATGGGCGGTAAAGCTCCCAGGCCTCTGGTAGAGGCTCGAAGGATAATGTAAGAAAACAGATGAAAGGAGAGATGCAAGGATTCAGTTAAAATAATGGCTATTTTGATTTTTCCATATTTACTTGATTTCCCTTTTTTACATGTATTACTCAGTTGTTCCATTGCTTTAAGAAATTGCACAAATCTGCACACATTTAACTGCACCGTGGTGGGCCTCCTGAACCAAAATTGCCAGGCTGAAGGGTTTTTTGTTTTTAAATCTCTGTGAAGTCTTGCCTCATGGGGTGTGAATAACCATGAATAATCAGAAGGCAGAGCATTAAAATCTTGCAGCACTTGCAAGGTCCCCTTGCTCACAAAGGCATTTGTTGAGACCCATTTCAAGTTTGCCAGTGAATATCTACATGGTTTAAGAAGACTTGGCAGAAAGTGCTGAGGTCTGATCAAACAAACTGCAGCTCTTTGACCTGCCATGTTTGGAATGTGAGAAATGCTGCATATGATCCAAAGAGCACAATCCCCACAGCTGTGCATGGTTGTGGAAACGTTATCCTTTGTGGTTGTTTTTCCTGCTAAGGGTACAGGATGACTTCACCGCACTGAGAAGCCAATGGACACAACCATGTAGTGAAAGTCTCGTGTTCCCTAACACTGAACATGGGTCGTGGATGGGTCTTCCAGAATTAGAATGAACCCAAACACACTGTGACGGCAACAAAAACGTGGATAAAGAGCACATTTTTTATTTATTTTTTTAGAAAGAGGGGCAATACATATTAATGAACAAGTTAACAAATGTAAATATGCCAGATTATAGCCTTGGGCTAATTTCCATCTGCAGACCCTCTGGCAGGTTGGTGTTACACACAAGTTAGTAAAAACATACAGAGACACTATTTACAGGTCATGTGACAAGGACGAAAACAGTGACCACATTATACTAGAACAAACAATGACAAGGAGAGTGGACACAGAGGACAGTATAGATAACAGTAACGGAAACACATCAGTTATATCGCACAAACTCCAGTATTGCACATGCCCTGACCATCGTGATATTGTGTTCACCCATTGCACTAACAGTTGTTTCCCTTTTTGTAATACACTAACTCTTTTTCCCGTCCAATATAAAACATGATTATTAAACATGATCACATGTTTGTGTGTCCCTCAGCCGCCCTTTTAGGTGACTCTTAAAGATGGGTAGACTTGTACTTCCCTCACTGACAGTGGAAGACTATTCCAGAAGCTCACTCCCTGATATGACAGAGCATCTGTGAAAAGGTGGTCCGCCTGAGTGCCAGTTCACAATCACCTCTAACAGTGGCTCGAGTCAGTCGAGACCCGGCAACACTGCTAGACTTTTGTTTAATAAAATCACTCATTGGTGGAGGCGCCAGACCATGTATAACTTTGTATATTAGACAGGCAGATTTAAATAATTTGAAATTAGTAAAATTTAAAAACTTGTATTTTTCTAAAATTTGACAATGGTGATATGAAAAAGGTTTTTTATCTAATATTTTCAATGCTCTTTTGTAGCATATCAATGGATCCAAGCTTAGGAAACACATATCAATGAGCCAGCATAGAAGCAATGTATCGTTGTGTCTATGGTCGATATTAATTCTATACATTACAGTTTTCACTACTTTTTTAATGTGTTTTTTAAAGGATAATTTAGAGTCTAGTAGCACTCCCAAATACTTAAATTCCTCAACATTAATTAATTCTTGTGCACCCAAGCAGACTTTTACTGCAGCCACGGTTGTTTTAGGTTTACTAAAAAACATTGATACGGTCTTTTTAAAATTAAGGCACAGGCATGAGTCATTCAGCCATTTTTGTAAATCATGTAATGCCAGTGAAAGCTGATGGGCTGCATCATCAGCAGTTTTGGCTTGCGTAAAAATTACCGTATCATCCGCATACATAATCGTGTCCACATTTTTGCACACATTAGGCAAGTCATTTACATAAAGTGAAAATAACAGGGGGCCTAGAATTGAACCCTGGGGACACCTTGCGACAGTAAAGATAGGGTGACTTGCTATTCTTTATTTGCACGCATTGTTTTCTATCTGATAGATAAGACTGTATCCATTTAACAGTGTGATTACTAAAGTTAAATGTTGACAGTCTAGACAAGAGCTTAAGATGATTCACAGTGTCAAACGCACGCTTGAAATCAAGAAAAACAGCCGCAACATAACTGCTCTTGTCTAAGTAAGATTTCACTCTCTCAACAAAAACACAGACAGCCGTTTCAGTTGAATGAAGAGTGCGAAATCCGAATTGCATAGGGTGCAAACCCGGAATTGGAGTCATTAAGAAAATGTTCCATCTCAA